TCCTCCAAGGTTCCCTCGTCTCCTGCTGCATCCTCCAAGGTTCCCTCATCTCCTGCTGCAGCTTCCAAGGTTCCCTCATCTCTTGCTGCATCTTCCAATTTTCCCACGTCTCCTGCTGCAGCCCTCCAGGCTCCCACGCTGTCTGCTGCAGCCCTCCAGGCTCCCACGCCGTCTGCTGCAGCCCTCCAGGCTCCCACGCCGTCTGCTGCAGCCCTCCAGGCTCTCACGCCGCCTGCTGCAGCCCTCCAGGCTCCCACGCCCCCTGCTGCAGCCCTCCAGGCTCCCACGCCGCCTGCTGCAGCCCTCCAGGCTCCCACGCCGCCTGCTGCAGCCCTCCAGGCTCCCACCCTGCCTGCTGCAGCCCTCCAGACTCCCACGCCGCCCGCTGCAGCTCTCAAGGCTTCCTCGTCGCATGCTGCAGCTCCCCAGGTCTCCTTAACGCAAGCCGTGTTTCCTTTGGCTCTGTGTTTTGGACGGCCTACCGGCCGCCCCCCTGACCTGGCCCGGTTTGATGGACAGCCTCCCGGCTGCCTGCCGGAACAATGACTCTTTGGGACGATCCCTTGACCGTCCAAATCCCTTGTGATCCCTCGTGTCCTTTTTCTGGTTCCTCGTGTTCCTTTTCTGGTTCCTCGTGTCCTTTTTCTCTGGTTCCTCGTGTCCTCTTTCTCTGGTTCCTCGTGTCCCTTCCTCTGGTTCCTCGTGTCCCTTCCTCTGGTTCCTCGTGTCCCTCTCTCTGTGGTCCCTCGTGTCCCTTTTCTCTGTGGTTCCTCGTGTCCCTTTTCTCTGTGGTTCCTCGTGTCCCTTTCTCTGTGGTTCCTTGTGTCCTTTTCTCTGTGGTTCCTCGTGTCCCTTTCTCTGTGGTTCCTCGTGTCCCTTTCTCTGTGGTTCCTCATGTCCTTTTCTCTGTGGTTCCTCGTGTCCCTTTCTCTGTGGTTCCTCGTGTCCCTTTCTCTGTGGTTCCTCATGTCCCTTTCTCTGTGGTTCCTCGTGTCTTTTCTCTGTGGTCCCTCGTGTCTTTTCTCTGGTCCTCGTGTTTTCCTCGGGCCCTCCACCCTTGCAGTGCCACCCTCCACCCACCCTAGTCCTTCGGGAGGGGGGTTTTTTGGGGACGCCTGGAGGCGTCCTTGGGGGGGGGGGGGTACTGTAAGGATGGTACTTTTCTGTGGCCCGGTTTGTGTCTGTTTCCCTCGTGCTCCCTCATTAGTTCCATTAGTGCCACCTGTGTCTCGTCCCAGCTGTTTGCTATCATGTCTCGTCTTCTCCCTGTATTTAAGCCGTCCTATTCTGTCTTGTTCTTCGTCGGGTCGTCTTCGTTGGGTACTCTTCCTTGGGTCTCCTGAGTCTTTCCCAGAGTCTTCCTGGTCCCTCGAGTTCCCCGTGTCTCTCGTGTCTCCTGAGTTCCCCGTGCCTCCTTCCTAGTTCATTTAAGTTTTGCTGCCCCGTCAGCTTGTTTATTTTGTACTTTTCGTTTATCATTAAAAGCCTATTTTTGTATTTCCGCCGAGTTGAGTCCCTGTTCTGCACTCTGGGTTCGCTCCTGACACAAATCCTAACACATTTGTGATAATAAAAAGCAACTCAAGAGTTTGGAGTTGGAAAAAAGAATTACCAACAAATGTTTGACAGTGCGTGTTAATAATTGACATTTTTCTAATTTGTATGAGTCAGTAAGCCTCTTCCTTCATCAGTAAAGGTTTCAGATGATCTTTCCACACTTTATCAGACCCTAAACTTGATTTTTTTTTTTTTTCATTTGAGCAAATGGGCATGTTTTTGCATGAATGTGTGATCTTACCTCTGAAGTGTTGACTGGACTGATCGTGTGGATCCTTCTGCCCTCTGGGCTCCAGCTCCTCCTCCTCACTGTTGAAGGAGCTGTGTGCACCCTTGGTAAAGGAGGACATGCTGGGCTCCAAGCTGCTGCCTGAACTTTCGGTATCACTTCTCCACCTCTCAACGTCCACCGTTGAAACACTTGGGTCAAGTCTCCAGTCTAAAGCAAAACAACTTTTTAACATTTTACAATCCATGTCGGTTTCAGGAAATGGCAAGTTCAGACATTTACTGCTCACTCTTGCATGAATGAAACTTTCATTGGCTGCACATCTGTCATCGATTACCTTATGAAGTCAATCCCATTCAAGATGGCTGCCACTGTGAAGCAACCATAGCAAACACAAAACTGTCCCCAAGTCAGTTTTACAGATAACGAGCTGAAACTACAGTAGGTGTGGTAGTAGCTGAGACTCATCCTCAAAGCGCTCTAAGCACTCAAACATCTCACAAGATCTTGCAATATTGTATGATATTGCTCAAAACATAATAAAAAAAGACCAACATGGCGGCATGGTGGCACAGTTGGTAGAGTAGAGCTGCTGCCTCTCAGCAAGAAAGTTACCGGACCAAATCCCAGTCCGGGGGCCTTTCTGGGTGGAGTTTGCGTGTTCGCTCCGTGCATGCGTGGGTTTTCTCCAGGTACTCTGGTTTCTTCCCACAGATCAAAAACATGCATGTTAGGCTGATTGGTAGCTCTGAATTGTCCCTAGGTGAGAGAGAGAGAGAGAGAGAGAGAGAATGGTTGTCTCGTATGTCTCTATGTGTCCCTGTGATGGACTGGAGACCTGTCCAGATGTCTCTGCCCCTTGTGAAGTGACTGCAGGACATGGACACCAGTGATCTCCACAACCCAGAAAGGAAGAAGTGGGTAAAGATGATGGATGGATAAGTCCATCATTCCTCATAATAAAATGGTTTTTGTCTGAAACTCTGGCATAAAAAGGTGACATATTGGAAAAGATTACATCATCAACACACAAAGAATTCACATCTTTAAATCTTTTATGCTCTTTAAAACCTTTCACTGCTCATTTCAGCTTTTCGTTCAGATATTTTCACTTTCTTTTTGCTACTTTTAGCATCTTCAGTTATGTTGTAGGCATTTTTTTTTTTTTTTTGCAAAAAGGTCTTTATTGAAAATTTTTAGCAGTTTAACCAAACACAGCTCAAACATTCTGCAAGATGTAGCAAAACCGTGATAGTGTTATCTAAAAAAGTTCAATCTGGTCCTCTGGACATTCAAAGCAAAACAACAAAAGAATGTAAAAACGTTTCGTCTCTCATCCGAGAGACTTCCTCAGTCTGAGGTGCTGTTTTCAGCTCAGTCTCTTAAATAGCACCTTCTCAGAGTGGATCAACCAGTTTTGCTGCTGACAACCAGAACCAGCTGATCACATGCTCAAGAAGGACCATCAGCCTAACAATGGATCATTAGCACACTGATGGCTGTTTACTGTTCACAGAGGGCTGAGTGATACTAGCAATCACAGCATTGTAAGAGGGGGACAGTTGAACACGGAGGCTCCGCCCCTGTTTAATGATGGACGGTTTCTTTTCACAAAGATGGCCTCCTTTACTCCTCTCAAACCATCGTTCCTCTCTGTCCAGGATGTGAACATCTTCATCCCTGAAAGAGTGACCTCTGACCTGGAGATGAGTGTAGACCGCAGAGTCCTGGCCTGATGATGTTGATCTTCTGTGCTGGTCCATCCTTTTGGCCAGTGGCTGTTTAGTTTCCCTGATGTAAGACTGATCACAGCCCTCCTGACACTGAACAACATACACAACATTACTCTGTTTGTGCCGGGGGACTGGATCTTTGGGATGAACCAGTCTTTACCGTAATGTATTTTGGGGTTTAAAAGCCACTGGGACGTTATGTTTAGAAAATGAACGTCTCAGTTTCTCTGATACTCCCTCAACATATGGAATGACCACTGGTCTGGGTCTGGGTTCCTCCTTTTCACCTGTTGGCTGACTGGAGTCCTGTTTGGGTTTCTTCTCTGCTTTTAAGAAGGCCCAGTTAGGATATCCACATTGCTCTAGAGCCTGTCTTGTGTGGGATTTTTCCTTGATTTTTCTGTGATAGTGTTACTTAAGCCCTGTGTTCAAACCAAATTAAAATAACAAATGCAAACAAACCCAGCAAAGTGCACCTCACAGAACCTTGATCATAACACAACCCATCACAACTTCCATACATTATCTGCATATCGAAGTATCAAATACAACTGTGTATGAATGTTAGGAGAATTATTTGTATTTGGAAACCACAGTGCACACCTCCCTCAGTCATTTGCACTGTCTTCTGCCATGTTCAGATCTTTAACATACATAAAGAAGGGGTGCCAGGTGCACTCAAACACGTCCTGTTTGCCTTTTAATGCAGATGTAATCTTTTCCAGAGGAAGAGCGGAGAACATCTGTCGGATCCATTGGTCGACAGTCGGTCTATGAGTCTTTTTTCAAAATAATGATAATCTTTTTCCATTGAGCAAACTTAAGTTTATAAATGTTCGTTCATTCTTAATGTAGTTGTGTTTTTCCGGGTACAGTCCAAACAAAACAACTTTTGATCCAATATTATTTGTTTAGAAATCCATCCATCCATTTTCTTCTACCCGCTTCTTCTATTTTGGGTCACGGGGGTCGCTGGTGCCCATGTCCAGCAATCACTATGCGAGGGGCGGGGTACACCCTGGACAGGTCTCCAGTCCATCACAGGGACACATAGAGACAAACGAGACAAACAAACATTCACTCTCTCACTCACACCTAGGGACAATTTAGAGTTACCAATCAGTCTAACATGCATGTTTTTGGTCTGTGGGAGGAAACCGGAGCACCCGGAGAAAACCCACGCATGCACGGAGAGAACATGCAAACTCCACCCAGAAAGGCCCCTGGACCAAGATTTGAACCAGGGACCTGCTTGCTGAGAGGCAGCAGCTCTACCAGCTGCTCCACCATGCTGCCCTTGTTTAGAAATGATTTCCTCAATTACATCCTTTACTTCTTTCCAAAACAGCATAATTTTCTGCAGTACCACACACAGTAAACCAGAGTCCCTCTGTCTTCTGTACATTTTGGACATACATCAGGTATCTCCCTATTAAACCTATTAAGGTCTACTGGTGTTATATAAACCCACATTAACCATTTGAATTGAATCATTTTAAGACCTGTATTGACAGAGCTAGTATGGGCTAATGCACAGGCTTCTTACCAGTCTTCCTCAGATAACTAAAATATCCTGATGCATGCTCAATAATCTAGGAAGAAAAAAAAAGTAAAGTGGGGTCCTCTGGACGGATTCTTCTAGTTGAAACGTTTTCATCCAAAGGACTTCCTCAGTCTGAGGTGCTGTATTCAGCTCAGTCTCTTAAAT